TTTAGATTGCAATGGATTAATGTCTGAGGTGTCATCCAATGTAGATCAAATTAATCACCTAAATGTCTCAAAATCATAAAGCAAGGCTAAAACATAACAAGCACATAGAAAGGTAACACAACTAAGAACATGACATTTATCAGTAAGTGTGAAAGCTTCATAATGCCTAGCTAATAACATGTCATTTTTGTAAACTGTCAATGTACAAATAACAGTTCATACAGTCATACTACATGAAAACCAACCCTTGGTCCAACTAGTCCACACTGACCATGTTCCCAAACTAAACCAGTCCCACCTGCCTGCACTTGGCCATATCCTGCTAAACCTTTCCTGTTCATGAACTTATTCAAATATCTTCTAAACACCAGCATCCACCACTTTTTCTGTGAAATAACTGCACAGGTGCCAGTATTTCATTACCAAGTCACCTATATTCACATTTGCACAGTACATGGACTCTGGCCAGCTAGCTCAGAGCCAGTCCCTAGAATGAGAAGGCCTTCTCAATCCCCTGTTTATATTTGTCAGCTAGGGCTCCCTGATTGGCCCCAGTTAACAACCCTGATCAAGCATCTCAGTCAATGGACCCACGTGGCCCTGGTTCTAATCACTACACTCTGGCAGTTCATTCCATGAAACACTCTAAAAGAAAAAATTGCCCCTTGTCTCCTTTTTAAATCTTTCTCCCCTCATCTTAAAAATATGCCCCCCAGTTTTAAACTCCCCCACCCTACGGAAAAGATCCTTCATGATTTTATAAACCTCTAAGATCACCCGTCAACCTCCAAGCTTCAGTGAAAAAAGTCCCAGTCTATTTTTATATCTCAAGCCCTTCATTGCAGGCAATATCCTGGTAAATATTTTCTGAACCCTCTCTAGCATAATAATATCCTTCCTCTAGCAGGGCAACCAGAACTACACACAGTACTCCAGAAGAGGTCTCAGCAATATCTTGTACAATCTCAACAGGGCATCCCAACTACTATACTCAAAGGAGTGAGCAATGAACGCTTGCCTTCATTTTGATACCCTAAACATTTTAACCACTTTGTCTACCTGTGACACCAATAAAGGCCAAATGTCATGAAATCAGCCATACAATTACTTTTACATAAGCAGACTTTCAAGGCAGATTCACGAGAGTACGGGGTAGATTCAGTGACATACACATTTATGGCAAATAAACCACACAGATGTTTCCAATACTGTTGTGACACTGATATGTTGCTACTGTTGAAAGCAGTTGTCATGATTCAAACAGGTAACATATTTTCAAAACATAAATACACTGGCGAATGTAAAACACATTCACAGTCTCATCATCCTGCTTCTTTGCTATATCCCAACATTTTCGTCAAACACATGCATTTTAGAATAATTCAGGTGAATCTGAACATATTTCCTGTCAATTTGTTGTCGTTTACTATAAATTGTTATGATAAGAATGGTATATGGTGTCAGAATTAAAATAATCAAATGGTATCATAACAATATAATTACTGACAATAATTAAACTTAACATATTATAAGAAAGCATGCAACCGTAAGCCAACAGCTGTCACACTCCAGAGATTGTGTGCAATTTTCTCCATCATGAATTCTGCATGATTAATTGCAATTTTTTCCTGCAATCCTGAGTACAATCAAAACTTCACAATCTCTATTTCTATCACAACTGCATTACTCAAGCCCAAACAGTATTCTTTGAGGCATTTCAATGTTCACAGCTCAGAAATCATCAAATTCTGACAGTATTTGATTTTTATTGGTTTTCCCCTTGATTTGGGATTCTTGCAAATTACCTGTAATGAGTGCAAGGTGAAAAGCTTTGATAAAACGCATTTATTTTCAGCAGTGCTCAAACATTTTACCACCTTATTCCATACTTTTCAGAGAAAGCTTTAGCCCTAATCCTAACAAGACAATTATCAAGTGTTCTTTTGAGAGAATTAATTGACACATCACTAAAAAAATACACTGCAAGTTAGTTCCACATATCTATGATTGGCTAAAACAGTTCATCTTCAAAAAAATTCTAATAGACCCCTATTGCACATCTGTCTGTAGCATGGGTCCTACCAACAATCACTTACTGTGGTGCACTGGGAAAACCTGAAAATATAAATCCAAATATATACACGCTGTATTGCAAAAAAAGCAAACAAATATTCCAGTCGCCTTCACTTTTATTGAATTGCTATGCTTTCTAATCTGAATATCACTTGGCCATGAGATAGACCCTGACGTTATTTTTGACTGACATTTGTGTTGAGTTGACAGGTAGCACTTCTCTTTTTTCTAAAACTATCTTTGAAATCTGCAAAATTTTCAATTGAAGTAGGTGAAATGAATAAAGAAATAAAAATTAGTCTTGTACTTTTAGCTCTTTCAATTTGAAACAAAAACTACATTTGAGTTAATTTACAGGGATCAAGCTCTTGGAGTGAAGTTTTATCTGATTGAATCATGTATTGAAACATCAGTTGAGAAGGTTATTGGAATAAATACCTGGAAAGATGCAAGCTTTCAAATTGGGATTTTTGAACTCTGCCCTATTCAGAGCCACTTTCCCCCTTAACCCCATGGAGAGAAGTTCACATAAGTACAGTGTCTGAGAATATCAATGCAATGTAACTGCAAATGTATGATCTTTAAGTCTATACAATCTGGATTTTATGTACAAATATCAAGAAATAACAAAATGAACAAATAAACCTTTCCACTATAAATCAGGGTAATTTACTTGAGTCAAAAAAGTTAATTATTATACTTTATCTTTGTCTGCATAAAAAGGATAGGAACTTCTCGATAAAATACGTAGCATAAAATTCTGTAAGATTTCAAACAACCAATGATTATTCATCTTTGAACATTGCTTAGCACTTGAACAGAGTTTGCAAAAAGTGTACTTACTAGTGTTTAATCCAGAGATCAATTACCCACCCTTGTATGAAGTGTGTGATCATAGTGGGATTTTATTGTGTATAATTTTCAACATGCCTTCATCCTAGAAGACTTCAATAGCTTAGATTTTACAATGTATTCATACTTTGCCAAAAATTGGTTACTCTCATTGTAAAAATAGCTGAGAAGTAGATAAATACTTTAACACCAATAGGGTAATGTTCATTTTTAACACACAGCCAAGGCGTGCAGTGGTCAATGATTTCAGACCAGGTGATTGCAGTTGGCAGTTAGCAGGAAGGATGACAAATAAGAAATGTTACTTTATAGGACCAGAAGGAATGCAAGGCTCTCCGTAAATCTCTTCTCCAATAATTGCCTAGTAGCCACCAGCAGCTTTATGTCCTGGTAAGAGGTGGACCAGCCACATTTAAATATGCCACAGTTGATAAAATCAGCCAAGACTTCAAGCAACAACTGAAGAGTTCTCGATTAACTGGTTAGACCATTTTTCCCACTTAAAATCACATGTCCACCACTCACCTAACCTATCAGACCCCATCCCAAATATCTAGAGAGCAGGCCAATACTCAGTCCACAACTGCCAAGGTGTTTTGTGTGGCCCACCAAACCTTTAAAATACAGATAAGGGTCAGTATAACTAAAAGACTTGGAAAGGAACTGCTCCTCCAAACCATAGGGTGGTTCTCTCCTGCATTTTCTTCCAAGAGGCTCATTTGTGAATGGATCAAAGCAGATGCAGGACAGAAACAATTTGTGATTGGAGGAATGAACAGCACAACACAAGCAATTTAACTGTACTCAAGGACTGGAACTGTAGTAAACTGAGGCTTTGAAAGATAGTTGTGAGGAAACCAAAATCCATGAGAGGGCTGGTGAAAGTCAGATGGTGCAACATGGGTGGGAGAAGTGTGTGTTGGTGAAAATTTGGGGTGGGTTATCAGCAGGTCCTGTTGAGGAAGTGGTACAGGGACAAAGACATTGACAGGAGTGGTAGGTCACAGCAATAGCCCAGGACTGACGAAATGTTAAGCCAGGTGGGAAGAACTGTGGGTTGTTACATTTACAGCCAACCCATCTGCTCCTGTTAATTTAAACGATAAAACAGTCTGAGCCTCTGAGAAACCTGGTTTGGGAGGGTGGGGGAGTGCGTGCAGGGAATGCTAAATGGATTGGATGTTGCTGGCTGGATGAGTAAGTGAGAGACTTGACGGGGATTGGTGACTGAGTGACAGGATAGGGGAGGGAAGGTGCAGTGACTGGCGTGGTGGGTAGGATTGAGTTGGATATATCCCTTTCCCCTAAATCCTCAACTCTTACCCCATCATCTCTCTCAAAAGCCTATGTATAAAGTCAACTTGAAAAGTAGGAAACCCCAAGCCAAAAGATAACCCACTTCCATGTGGATTCTGGAGTATGCCCCAAAGGGAAACCAAGCTCAGTGTTAGTTAAAGCCATCTCCTTAGGTCAGTCCTGATCCCCAACCCCCTCCAGATTCCAATCCCCACCCTCCTCCCTGGGTGATCCAGACTTGGAGACTAGCCATTTGCTTCTTCTTACTCTATTGCTTAACTGAAAAGGAAAAGTTAGGTTTTGTTAGTTAACACTGCTGCTTGGTACTTTTTGATGGTAATTTCACCTTTATTATTACAGCAAATCATATATTTCTGAAACTTACTCATTAGTCCCTAAAAGTGAGGGAAAATTTGACATTTAGCCTCCCCAGACAAGAAGGTTGGGAGAACCCTCATCAGAACATGACATCTGATTTATGGAATTCTTCTGTAACAATACAAGGGTTTGAACAGCAATAAAACAAATTAGAAAGTTAAGGAAATTGTCTTGGCTATGCATTCTTAACACAAAGCAATGACTTAATGAAATCATTATAGACCTACAATAGGGAGTCTGAAGATGTCATATAATCTGAAAAACACTGTAGGTTCCAATTTTATGGTTTAAATGGGCTTTGTAAATGGCTTTACAGTGTTGTAATTTTCACTTTTAGACAGCTCATGGCAAATCCAGATTTATGCAGTCAGTCTGTAGAGGCTCCCGTGTAAAACAGTTACCTTTTGAAGGAGGGCGAGTCCGCGTGCGTAAAGCTTCCGAGCCATTTTCTTTTGCAACCGTCCTTCTGCCATCAATAAGCATATTCCAAGCAAGTAAAGAAATGACCACAACACATTCGACTTCATTGGATCAAGTCTGTCAGAAAAGAAGATAACTGTCAAATTATTGTTCTCTTCCAACATTTTGTTTTGATAAAACTTGCCTTTATTTTATTTTAAGGTCCCATGCAATAGCTGATCAGTGAAAATTGTGCACAACAATGTAGTTGTCATGTTAATTATGTATATCATTAGCCACACATGAGTACTAATGGGAGCTTTATCAATCCAGATATCAATTATCAAATGTTCTATAATATTCATAAAAGCTAACCATATAAATAATAATGACAGAAAATGTAGAATGTTTGGTACAGTAATTAACATGGACAGGTTAAAGAATGCTTTAATGTGGAGATTTGCTACAGCATGGTATGGATGATGAATCTCAGATTATTTTGTACTCAAATTAAAATGCAAGATAATAATGGATTGTGTGATATTTATATACTAAACCAAGTAAGAGAAATAACAAAAACAGATGGTATCAGAAAAGTTGTGCTTGAATTTCCATCCTTCAGTTAATGGAAAGAAAAATTCCATGGGGTGTGTGACATGCAGGCAATTTGTTATGGTCAGTGGTCTATCCAGTGATGAAGGTTAATGTTTACCTCAGTTGGTCCTGTATTTCATCTTGGCACCTTTAACTGGTGCCAAGAGGAATTCCAGTGTGCTATGCCAATATACTGTGGAGATAAGCCACACAAATGGTCTGTAGACTCCCAGCACGTACAATCCTCTACTTTAAAATCAATGCAGTACTTTGAGTCACTGCAGTTAAAAAGTGATTTGAAAATCCCAAGGTTGTGAAAAGTGCTGACATCATGAAAATCACATAGGAGAAAGGTTTCAGAATTACTAAAACACAATTCACTGCCAAATAAAAGAAAATATTTGTTCTTATATACTATAGCACCAAGGTATAGTCACACAGTCAGCTAATTACTTCTAAAGCAGATACATTATTTGTGCAATTAAGAACTGAAGAACACCATGATCCTTTGATCAACGGCTAACCGATGAATCTCATGACTCACTGAGGGTTGAACGTTGGCATGACCGAGAGAAGGATTTCCTGCAAGTTTACCTGAAAAGCCATTCACCTGAACAGGATGAATTTCTTGCAAAAGATGGCACTTCTAGTACTGTACTGAAAAAAGGCGTCAGCCAAGATGAAATGTATATTTTGGGGCAGGAACCCAGGACCTTCTGGCTCAGAGGTGAGCATAGCGCTGTTCAACCAAGAGGAGGTAAAGGTAACATTAGTGCAATATCTGTATAAGTATCTGAAGATGTTATCTACCTTAGTTGAGAGGAGCAATACACAGGAAGAAAATTTCTACATGGCTCACACTACTTTCTGACATTATTATAGAGGATTTTAAAAAAAACCTGTAAAAATGGCTTTTAAAAACACTATTTGCAATTTTTCTGAGCTTCTATTGATATTCCATGAAAGTTATAGCAGAAGACCAGAGGAACCTGTAAAAAAAACCATCAATATCTACTTTTTAAAAAAAACCTTTCCTGTTAGGAATTGCATTCTTCCGACTCACTATAGATTGACAACTTTTAGCCCTCCTGCTGAGGTCATGATAACATACAAAAGTGACAACACTACACTACTCATGTTAACTAAATCTTGAAGGGAATCAACAATACATCCTTGATTTCTGCAGAAAAACTCCATTATCTGAATAAGTCAAATCTGCAATACCTCACTGTTGATGACTAATAATTGGAGAACCTAGCAAGGTGAATCTCTGTTTTCTCAGACTCTGAATAAAAAGCCGCAGACTCAACAAGCCGCTTTTTGTTGACATAGCAGTAAAACAGTGAAAACACCTGGCTGCTGGTGCCAGTCAATTGCATAGATTCAACGGATTACAATCCAGCTGTATATCAAGCTTTGTAAGCCTTTCCTTTGTCACACAACCAGCACCTAAAGACTGAGCCTAGGTAACCCAGGCAAACTATCTGGCTTCATATGGAGAAAGGGCTGAATCTTACCCAAAATATAAATGTGAATTTTGTCAAATTTCCATGAGGCCTGGCAACTTCTCTCAAGAGATCATTTCAAACTCACCCTATTAACTAGCTACCGTAAGGAATAGGAACAGGAAAAGGCTGTTCAGCCCCTCAAGCCTGCTCTGCTGTTCAAAAGGATCATGGCTAATCCAACATTCCTCAAATCCATTTTCCTGCCCCTTCCCCTTTTGTCCACTTTCCTGCCACTTCCTCACAATGCTTAATTCACCTACTGATCAAGAATCTATCTCAACCTTAAATATACACAAGGACTCTATGCCCCACAACTGCCTATGGCAAGAGAAATTCCTCCTCATCTCAGTATTAAATTGGCAATCATTTATTCTGAGACTATGCACTCTCATCCTAGACTCTCCCATGAGGGGAAACATTCTCTCACCATTATCTGTCAAGCACCTTAAAGAATCCTGTATATTTCAAAGAGATCCCATCCCTTAGTTGTGGTAGCTTAGGGAGTGCACTCTGTCCTCAATGCTGACAGTATACCAATATCTCCTTGTTGTCCAGTGGTGGACCATCACATACAGGGAACCACTCAAATTATGCCAGAAACCATATTGTATTCACAAATAAAAGAAACAAAATTTTTAAAAAGGCTCTATTTCATCCTCAGAATAGAAATAAATCACTTGCATGCTGATCAACAACTATTTTACAATCAATGATTTCCTGCTGCACTCAGCTCTCATCTTTTGGAGCTGGGTGTCAAGCAAGTCCTGCCTGGCTTGTAGTGCCAGACCCAGCTGAGCTCTGACATACACAAGGAAAGTGTTCTCCTCTTCAAAATTTCCTCATGCTGTCCTTGGAAGGCTGACCTCATTTTCCAGTTCCTCAGCATTCAGGACAGCTTTTTGCTTGCTCCAATTGTGCAAAGCACAGCACACTAGGATGATGTGGCACACTGTGTCCAGAGTATATTGTATAACAAACCTCCGTTCTTCCCCTCCTCCCTGTACCCTTCTATGTCTTCCATTCTGTATCAGCTCCCCCCTTATTTCGAGCTTTCCCATTACTTACATGGCCTTCATCAACCCACGGTTCCCACTCCACCCCAGATTGAACACCCCACCACCTTTTGAGAAAGGGATCTCCTTTAAACACTCCGTCAATGTGCAGACCCACAGGACATTCTGCTGTCCAATCTTTTGACTGACTTCTACAGACGGCCCCAGGTCATGGCTGAAAAGACCTTTGCAGTTCCCTGACTGCTTGCAGAGGCCCTAAAGAATTTCTGTTGCCCAGTCCCCTGGCTGTAGTTGGACAAAGACCCTGACATGACCGACCATGACCAAGCCCCTGAACTGTGTGTGGACTTTGCCCTTGACTGACTGTACTGGAAGCCCCTAATCAGCAGCATCTACCTCTGGACTAGATGGAGGACTACTTCCCACAGACTCGGCCTGATTAATCATGCAGTGTGTTTATTACATGGGCAACTGGCACATGCTGCAAGTGTTAGATTGATGTTAGATAGAAGATATCCATGCCCTGGACTGATCAATACTGACAAGAAAAAGCAGGTTGGCTCTGCACTAAACACCAAGTCATAACATCAGTAACCTGAGCCTTTTGACATTCGCTGAGGATCCAACGCGCTAAGAGGCTAGCAGGAATGCTGTGAATGCACTAGCTGCTAAGCAAGCAGCCCTGAGATACAGCCTGGACCAATTCATGAGCTAGGTGGCTGTCTCTTCTTGCAAGGTGTCCTTGTAGCAGGATTTCAATGTAAATTGTCAATGCACCCGAAATGTAACTTTAAGCAAAAAAGCAGAAAACAAAAGTGTGCTATAAGTGGATTGGAGATCTTCCTTGGAAGTTCCAAAGGTTGGCAGATGTCAGGTGGAAGTGTCCATGGACATGGGGTGTGAAGCTGCTGCCATAAAATAGACCCAAAACATTGTCTGCTGGTGTTCAAGACGGTGATCTAGAAGAGCAAGTAGTGAGTCCAATGTAACCTTTCCGGTCCATCTCAGAAATTCTTGGTGTCTCGTTTCCACATGGTAGGTGGTATGATCAGAAGTAACATATAAATGAGGTGAGATTTACAGTTACTGAGGGTGATAAAAAGCAATTATCTCAGTTAATAGGCAGCATCTCACTACCTACCATGGATTTCATCGCAAACCAGCACTTGGTTGGTAAATGCGACTAGTTGCTCCCGATGTCATGGTAGGTCTTGTTCAATTTCTCACAATTTTCTCCTAGATTCCTCATGGGTAGCCCAATCATGGCCTGGTAAGATTCTGCCTAAACTGTGCATTCCATATCAGACACTGAATTTTACTTAAAATCCAAAAGCTGCAAAATTCAGAAATGTTTGAGGAATTGATTTTCAGAACTGGAAAACAAATGACAGTGAACAGCCTTTAGAAGGAACAGAACAGTAAAAGGACTTGGGGATGTATGGAGATGCAGCAGATTAATCTGTAAAGTGCTGAATAGCGAAGCAGAACATGGTTAAAAAAGAACACATTTGACAAGATGACAATGCAAGAAGCAGCATGATTTAACAAAAATAAAGGCACTTAAAAGCATGTGAATGGAAAAGGATGTGACAGGGAGGGTATTATGGCAAGGTATGTCTGAAATAGAAACAGGAGCAGCTGGCAAAAGTGGAACAGGATCTCATTGCCTAAGAAGTATTAAGCAGTCTGACATCAAAAGCTGCACACTGCAGTGTCGGAACAGTTTTGAGACAGAAAGTTACACTCTTGTGCCAGGCCACAGAAACAGGAATTTTCAGAGTTCCTCAAGACAATTCCCCCTGCCAACACACTCCATTGAAACAAAAGTAGGTTTTACATTTGGCTTCATATTTACCAAACACAGTACAATCACATATTTGGCTAGACTCTTCAGGCCTTGTTGTTAATTTTTGCCTATATTTGTCAAAAGGGCTGATTACATAAAGTGACAAGAGCAATGATTATAGGAGAGTAAATATCAGATTGAGAAATGCAGAATGTTGCAGATATACA